TACTACTACTACTACTACTACTACTACTACTACTACTACTACTACTAACTACTAACACTAACTACCATTACTTGGACTGTCAAACTGTCTATTACTACTACTGTTACTGTTACTTAAGATACAACAACAAAGCATAACACAAAAACACCAGAATATGTAATGTAATGTTACGTTAGTTGTCTAAGTACCACGCCTACTACAGAATAACATAACCTGACTTAGGTTATCCCACGTATCATACCAACTACGTTGAGACACATGTGAGGTCAAGTAAGTCAGTCTCTTAACTTAACCTTCAAAGTCTGATGAAACTTATAGCAATATGATATATGAACTGAATGATGATTAGATGAGAAAGAATATTTCACCGCAACATATGGAACTGGCAACTACTGGTGAACTTTTGCATTCCCACTGGAAGCTGTTTTGTAAACTTCCTAAGCTAGCCAAAGGGAAGTAAGATTTTAGTGGTTTTGGTTTAAGCTCAAGGAGTTTAGAATGACTCACACCAAGTAAGAATAAAACAGGCACCTTGAACTAGGATTCTGACTCTGACACTATCTATGTTTTGGAACTAGAGATTCTTTGTTGAAGTCATTTCCTCTTGGAAATGCCCGGAATAAAAATACAGCACGGGTGTGGGGTTGCGTTGTGTTTGCAGTACATTTTGCCCAAGATTGTGAACGAAGCCTCCTCTTGAGACATGTTCAACCGGTTTTTACACAGATCAGATACGATGCAAATACAATACAATTCAATCCAGGGTTTACACAAACTTTCTGGTTACTTTGACTTGCCAGTGCCATGACAAATGCTGCAGACCTCCCACCTTGCCGCCTGTCATTGGTACAAGAAGCGTTCACATTGACCTCAGAGATGAAGCTGCTGAAACAGCAGCTGAGCAGGACGAGTTCAGCACTTGAGCAGCTCCAAAGTAGACTGGAAAAGTGGAAAAGTGGATTGACCTATGTGAGTTCGCAAAATTTCATCCTTCCTCATCTACTAGCCTCAAACATGCATTGTCTGAGACTTCTACTGAAGTGGTGACATCAGGGTGTGAGGAGGATGTTGAACCCACTGAATGTGGCAGTCACCCCGGGATTAGTCCAAGTGCGATGATGTGTGATGAAGGCGATGAACCTCAGCCAGCAGCTGCTTCTTCAGCGTTCAGCTTGCGAGACCCTGTATCATCTCAATCCATCAAGCTCGTTAGGTCGTCAGCCACGTTCTTCACTGAGAATGATAGAAGCAGGCCTCGTTCAAGATCTCGAGGACCATTCAACCGTACCAACCGTAGCAGCAGGAAGTTCTAGGGCAAAATGAGGTAGTTGCACCCACATTGAATTTTTGCACGGGACACCATTATTTGGCACCGAAGTCTACGCCAATATATTCCGGTGTTGCAGTGTTGCGTAATTTGAACAGTTTACTTTGAACTGAATCCTAATTGAAATAGTGGCTGATCAAAGTTGGATATTCCAACTGGAGTGGCAACTCCAAGTCATTGGAGAGAGATTGAATTTGCGCAAAAAGAACTGTGGAGAGATTCAGACTGGTGGACAAGGATCTGGGATGGGATGGCATTCAACACAAACTGGCGTGGAGTCACACACCGGCTCAGGTTGGTGGGATAAATCCAGAGGACAGCTTCTGCAATTGCGATTTGGCCAGACACTTGCTTTTCAATCAGATCAGGTCAGCCGAGTCAAAACTCACACTCGAGACTAACACCCTTTTTATAGCAGCCTGACTGTCAGACGCAAAAAACCATGCAATGGATAGTGGATAGCAAACTGAAAGAGACTTTCTAGGTGCCGGCTTGTCCAATCGTTTTGTTGGAAGGGCCTGGATGAGACAAACAGCCGTGTCCTTCCGAGTGTGCATACTCACTTCAGGATCTGTTGGGCGTCACCATGTTGGAAAGAACGGCCATGTATCCTGTTTGACCACCATGGTCAAGATCTATGACTTCGCTACAAAAAGGATGCTGAGTGGCCAGGAGAAGTTGTTCTAGTGAAACTTGTGCCAGTGCTGAAAAGCTAGCCTTAAACTGACACGTCTTGCAGCCATGTCAATGTCTTTAAACTGTCACAGACTAGTTTCTCTTCGTTTTCGGGCTTTTGGACTGCAGGTGTATTGGAAGATAGCAGCTAGTTGACACCAGACCAGATCTGACTGCTAATTTAAATTAGCTTTTTTGGGATCAATTCCAGTGACTCCAGGACCTTTTGGGCTTGCAAGGGTTCGATGCAGCGCACCTCAACCTGGATGGTCTCAGCTACAAGGAGATGAACAAGTTGGCCGGCCCCTGCACTGCAATCATGACTCCACATGCCTTGCAACACACGCAGGATGTGATTTTTTGCAAGTTTGCTCGACTCTTCAAATAGTGTTCATAGGGTTCCTGAAGTGAGACCAAACTTCAAGTCATTTCAAAAAGACTGGGACTGGACTACAGCGTGCATTGAAAACACTATCGACTCGATTACCGTGCTACCAACATTGACTTGAGGTGATGCCTGGTCTGTTCCAGTGGCTGGTGCAGTCATCACTGCACTACTTTGCTATTTGCTTCCTCTCAAGCTCAATCGCCCTATT